TTCTTTCTTTCTTTCTTTCTTTCTTTCTTTCTTTCTCTCTTTCTTTCTCCTTGTCTTTCTCTATTTCTGTCTTTCTCTTCTTTCACTCTTCTTCCTCGCTACCATCTCACTATTACTTCTGCTTTTTCTTTCTCCTATCATTCCTTTTAACCATGGAGCCCTCTCTATCAAACCCTTTCACGGTTCCAATACTTTTATCCGAAATAAACGAAAAAGAAAAGAGAAGAAAAAAAAAAAGAAAAGAAATGAAAAAAAAAAGAAAATAAAATAAAAAGAGAGAAAAAAGATCGCAGAGAATCTAAGGATCTAAGGCAAAAGAAAACTGAGTATCGAGTTCGAAGACGAACTCTATAGTGAGATAGAGAGAGAGAGAGAGAGAGAGAGAGAGAGAGAGAGAGAGAGAGAGAGAGAGAGAGAGAGAGAGAGAGAGAGAGAGAGAGAGAGAGAGAGAGAGAGAGAGAGAGAGAGAGAGAGAGAGAGAGAGAGAGAGAGAGAGAGAGAGAGAGAGAGAGAGAGAGTTGTGGTACCGGTTTCTATCCATATGAACGACTCTTATTGTCAGATTCCTCACGTGTTAGCTACCAACGAAAGAAGATTCTATATCAACCTTTCTTACGATCGCTATAATAATCATCAATCGTCATTTTATATATCGTATTAAAATGAATTCGTTAGTTTCTTCAGGCAATTAATGATTAAAAAAAAAAGAAAAAATCAAGGTTATTTAATAATCACGATTAAGAATATATATATATATATATATATATATATATATATATATATATATCGTCGTTATCCTCCTTTTATCGAAATTATGATACTAAAAAGATGTAGCGAAGATTTTTTAACCATACGCTTTGGTATTTGGGGTAACGACGGAATTACGCGGAAGGAGATAAAATAAAAATAAAAAGAAAGAGAAGGAAGAGAAAGAAAAAGAAAAAGAAGAAGAAGAAGAAGAAGAAGGAGAAGGAGAAAGAGGTGGGGGACACAGACAACGACGACTATGACGACGACGATGACGACGACGACGACGGCGACAATGACGATCCTCGAGCTTTAATGTCGGCTGTGGTTGGAAGCAGCCTGTTAACTGCAGCCGTTGCTTTACTTGGACGCGCATGCTGTCGAATACGACGTTATGATGAGATGGTTAGAAAAAGAGAGAAAGAGAGTCGATGCTATCCGGGAACGATTTATATATATATATCGAGAGAGAGAGAGAGAGAGAGAGAGAAAAGGAGAAAGGAGGGTGCGTCGCTCGTTCGAGAGGGCTCTCCGAAAGCACTGGAATTATTCCCGAATCTACCAACGCGTCAGCGTATCACCAGCTCGCTGCTGCTGCTGCTGCTGCTGCTACTACTACTGCTGTGTTGCTACTACTTTCTGCTGCTGATGCTGTTGCTGCTGCTACTGCTTGCTGCTGCTGTTATTGCTGCTGCTGTTGCTGCTGCTGCTGCTGCTGTTATTGCTGCTGCTACTGCTACTACTGTGCTTGCCCTCGGCCCTCTCTGACCGCTCGATACCAAACCGCGACTTTCACGTAATAGACTTCTCTATTTCTCTCATTCTCCCTTTACATATATTTTTATCAATCCCTTATCCACTTTTATTTATTTATTTTTTTTTTCTTCTTTTTTTTTTATTTCGTTTCGTTTTTTCTTTTTTTTTTTTTTTTAATTTACTAGCCACACTAAATATTTTTCATCGTCGACGTAAATATAAATCCGAAAGTTAAAGTTACGGAATACGTATAGATCGAAAGAAATGAAAAACTATAAAATATCGAAAGATACACACGTCATAATAGTAACAGTAGTAATAAGTAATAGCCAATTAGTTATGGTATAATAATAGAAATAGTAATGTTGTGACGTAAGATTGAAATCTTGTTTTTTATTATCGATAAATATATCCGAAGTTCTTTTACCCTCTTTTCTCTCTCTCTCCCTCTCTCTCTCTCTCCCTTCCTCTTATCCCTTCTTTCTTTCTTTATTTATTTCTTGTTTCTTTTTAATAAAGACTTTACATTTGATTTTGAAATAAGAAAAAGGACGAAAAAGAAGATACGTATTCTCCTTTCATCATCGACCGTTGGAATTGCCTCGCAAGAGAGGAGTTCAGAATTTCGGGAGGATCGATAGACGTTGCTATGAGAGGTTGAAATGTCGAGCAACGACCCTACTCGAACCTAGTTCTTTGAGTTCTCCCGAGTGTACGTCTGTGTCGATCTCTGTGTATATGTGTGTGTGTATGTGTGTCTATACATGTATGTGTGTATGTATGAGAGAGAGAGAGAGAGAGAGAGAGAGAGAGAGAGAGAGAGAGAGAGAGAGAGAAAGTGTGTGTGTATATATATATGAGCGAGAGAGAAAGTGTATGTGTGTGTGTGAGAGAGAGAGAGAGAGAGAGAAGGAAAGAGGCAATGATTTCGAAGAACTGAAAGAACGTGAAGTAAGAAAATAAGGCGGAGAAAAAGGAGGGCGAAGAAGAAGAGGAT